GCCATAGGGTATAATGGGGAATCAATTAAATATCTATAACTTTGTTGTTTTTTGTCTGATTTGGATGAAACTTGCAGAGATGGTAGCCTCTGCTGAGAGCATGAAGCTTGCCAAGTTTCAAGAAGATTGGTACAGGGGGGAACTGCACCCCAAATTCCTGAAAGCAAAACTCATGTCACATGTATGTGTTACACCACAGGGGGGTGAAAACTGCAGGGGTAGTAGTCCCTGCTGAGGTCATGAAGCCTGCCAAGTTTCAAGAAGAGCGGTGCAGGTGTTTGGGGGAAACTGCACCTCAAGCTGCAGACCCTGCTGCACCTTAACACACACAGTGTCACCCATGTCAAGAGTGTTGCTTGTCCGCAGCTTGAGGTGCAGTTTCCCCCAAACCCCTGCACCACTCTTCTCGAAACCTGGCAGGCTTTGTGGCCTCACCAAGGGCTACCACCCCTGCAGCTTTCACCCCCCTGTGGTTTAACACATAGACGTGACATGAATTTTGCTTTCAAGAATTTGGGGTGCAGTTCCCCCCGGAACCCCTGCGCCAATCTTCTTGAAGCATGGCAGGATTCATGCTCTGAGCAGAGGCTACAGTCCCTGCAAATTTCATCCAAATCAGACAAAAAACACCAACATTATAGATATTTAATTGATTCCCCATTATACCCTATTGCCAGATCTCTGAAGCGGCTCCGAAGCTTTTCCAAAGTGCTTTGGAAGCTCTGAACCGCTTCAGAAAGCCTAACAAAGCCAGCGCTTCAATCTGGACATGCTGCTTCAGACGCCAAAGCATCCGAAGCTTCTCCAGATCCGAAGCACGATCCGAAGCCTCACACAGCCCTGCTGGCTAGGTGGATCTCTTATAACATTTCTTTTCCACTGGGTGATGGCTAAAAGGAAACATTAAGCCAATTTTCATCTTTCCATTAGCTTGGATAAGCTAGTGAATCAGAATAGTGGTAAGATGTTAGATAACAGGAATTTTTCTTTGCATGGGTAGCCGGCTATCAGTTCCATTGCCCCAGACACCCACAGCTTATGGTAGTCTTGTGACTGCTTCAGTAACATGCAGCTGTCACACTCACTGAAGGATGGTGATTGAGGTACTACCTTGGGACATGGGAGAGACATTCATCTTCTATGTGACCCTTGGCAAGTTGCTTTTCTCCCTGTGCCTCAATTCCTCACCTGTAAAATGGTGATTATTGTACCCTGCATCACAGGGGGTTGCAAGTATAAATAAGTTAATAGCTAGAGGGTGGCCAGACACTATAGTAATGGGGATCAGATTGACAGAGGCTTATGCTTCCTTACTTCAGAAACTTCCAGAGATATTTCTTTCTCTAATCCATTTAAAGTCAAAGACTGGGAGCACAGATATGACACCGCCATTAATGTTGTCATAAGGTTATTTATCTTGTCAGAAATCTCAAGAGCACTTTTAGAATTGCACTACCACATTAAAGAGCAAGGAGATTTAGCAGTGGACATTCTCAGTCTGTACTAGCTACTAAATGCACTACTATGAAAATTAAAAACATTAACACTGAAAAAAAATTACACTGTCTTTATAGCATTTTTTTTTTATTCTTTACAGAAATTCTCCATCCATCCCATCCTGTCCCAAATGATCGTACAGACACATTCAAAATGGCAAGCAACATATCTTCAGAAAGCTGTGCTGAACCCAATATAACATTTAAACATCACTTGTATGCAGTCACTTACACCATAGTATTCATACCAGGTCTTCTGGCAAACAGTGCTGCCTTATGGGTTTTATGTCGCTTCATCAGCAAGAAAAATAAAGCCGTCATTTTTATGATTAATTTGGCTGTAGCTGATCTTGCTCATGTTCTCTCATTACCGCTGCGCATTTACTATTATATAAACAATGTGTGGCCTTTTGGACATAGACTCTGCCTGCTATGTTTCTACCTGAAGTATCTCAACATGTATGCAAGCATTTGTTTCCTTACCTGCATAAGCATCCAAAGATACTTTTTTCTCTACAATCCATTCAAAGCCAAAGACTGGAAGCGCAGGTATGACGCAGCCATTAGTGTTGCCATATGGATGTTTGTTGGGGCTGCCTGTTCACCGTTTCCAATCATGAGATACGAAGGCATAGCTAATAATGCAAATGCCTGCTTTGCGGATCTTGCTGTTAAGAAGATCAGCGGTAAGGTAGTACCGGTGGTGATGACAATGGTAGCCGAACTACTTGGGTTTGTGGGTCCTTTAATTGTCATTGTGTACTGCACCTGGAAAACAAAAGAATCACTTCAAACATATCAAATGCCTTTGCAGAATAGTGAGAAACGAAAGGCTTTACGGATGATTTCAACATGTGCCATTGTGTTCTTCATATGTTTCACCCCATATCACATCAATTTTTTCTTTTACATGATGGTGAAAGAGGACATTATTACAGACTGCTCCATCCGCAAAAGTACACTTTACACTCAACCCTTCTGCTTAAGCCTTGCAAGCCTGGACTGTTGTTTGGATCCAATCCTGTACTTCTTCACAACTTCAGAGTTTCAGGATCAGATATCAAGGCACAGCAGCATAGTCATCAGGAGTCGTCTTATGAGCAAGGAAAGTGGCTCATCAATAAAGGAATAAAAATACAGCTTTTTAAAAACCCTGTTCCATATAAAATCTTGGATTTTTCTCTAACTCCTCAGTCATATAAGCAGCATAGAAACTCCTGCAGCTTTAATTGAAGGTGTTTTTCAACAGTGAAAAATCTTTTGGTTTATATAAAGCAAACTTGTAAATTAAACTCATGGTAAAAATGTTATGGGTGCTGGAAGCTGGAAAACCCATAGCTGGAGTGCACTGGTCTGATCCCACACATGACCCACTTGAACTACACATAACACAGAAGGCTGCAGTGTTTCAGGGTAAAGGCATGAATGAGTTAACAGCTCTTTTCCTATTTTGCTAGCTATTTCTTTCTTATACTGTCTCTGGTGATCAAGCCAAAGACACTCAACTATATATTTAAATACTGAGATGCAGTTTTCCTTCCTCTCCATGAGCCATCTTTCAAAGTACAAGTACAGAAGGAAAGAGAAAATGGTAAATAAACAGCCCTGAACACAAGGACACAAAAATGGAGCTTCCTCAAGGGCTGATCTTAATTCAGTATGGCACCCACAGTTCTACAAGTACAGGATAGCCTTATATGTACTATCATGCATCCACTGGACCAGCTCAGATCCTGCTGAAGTCTGAACATTAATTTGACTGAATTGATACACAGATTTATCCTCTTCATGAGCATGTTGTTTTTTCAAATTTAGTTTGAAGAACCATCATTCTGTACCAGCAGCAGTAGCTGTCACATCTACAGTATCTAAGCTTCATTTATAGGTGTAAAAACACAAGCAACTTATGGACACTTGCAAACTGTAATTTAAGTATTTGATTTTATTTTGTTACTCTGTGGTCCACCCAAAATTATCTTTACATTTAGCAGTGAGAGACATAAGTGATGGGCAAGCACTAGTATGCATTTAAAGAATAACCATGCTGGTTGTTATCTCCAATGGCAAGTGATTTTATTTTAAGGACAATAAGCTAATGCAGCTTTCTCCTTTTTTTAATTTTTTAAAAATGGTTTATAGATATGTAGCTATTTTAAAGGAATATTGGTGTTCTATGAGCACAAGGAACATATTTTTTATTTAAAGGCTAACTTCTACAGCGGTGGTTCTCAACATTTTTAGTCTCAAGACATCTCATTAGACTCAAGTCACTCCTCAGAAACTATCACCTCTTAGCAATCTCTGGGTTGATCTTGTGAACTACATGTAGATGGTTACACTTACCCAACGGTGATAATATTGCCTGGCACCCTTAAAAGGATCTCAAGGCACCACTGGGTGCCATGACACCCCAGTTGAGAATCGCTGTTCTATAGCTTTATCATTAGGAAAACCGAGGATAAACAAACAATCCAATGCCCACTGAAATCAATTGAAAGACTACTGACTTAATTAGACACTCCATTGTGTCAAAGACTGACATACATGTTTAACTTTGTGTGCCAATGGGACTATTTGCAGTGCATACATGTAAGCATACATGCAATCAGTCTTTGTAGGATTAGAGCTTATGTATATATTCAAACACATGGAATGCTATTTTTATTAGTCTTTTATCAAGTGTTTCTCCTAGGCTAACTATCGGGCAATTTAATAGCATAAAGATTCAGCTTATAGAGGCAGTTATTGCTCTTAGGATGCTTATAACCCTCAATCACCACTCATCCTACTGGGAATGGTTTACTTCTATTTCCCTTTCAAGCTACCATTTTGCCTTAGGTGTATCCATGTCTAAGGCTCTGATTTGACTACTGTATAGTTTGTTCTACATTTTTGTTTATAAGAATCACGCTTTAAAAATAAAAACGATTCGTGCATATGTAATTTGTGTTCCATTCATGTGTTTAGATATCTCCCAAAACA